ACAAACCGCTCGTTTCGTGTCTTAGCCCATCAATGTGTACTTACATTTACGAGTCATTAAATCATGTTTAATTTGGACTTCTCTGTGCATGCTCTTTGAGGAAGTGACCATAGACCTGCATTATATGACTGACAGACAAGAACGGTTTGACCTAAAAATATCAAAATTGAAACTACTGCGGAAACAAAGACACCTACATCTTGGATGCCCTTGAGGTAAGCTAAAACATACCAACAATTAATTTCAAAGTGAACTATCCCTTTAAGTGACTTTGAACGTGGCACGGTTGTTGATGCCAGATGGGCTGGTCTGACTGAGTATTTCAGAAACGGCTGATCTACTGGGATTTTCACACACAACTATCTCTAGGGTTTACAGAGAATGGTCCGAAAATTCAGAAGACAGTTTACCCATCTTCTGATGGCTACTTCTAGCATGATAACGCGCCATGTCACAAAGCTAGAATCATCTCAAACTGGTTTCTTGAACATGACAATGAGTTTACTAAACTCAAATGGCCTCCATAGTTCTCAATCCAATAGAGCACCTTTGGGATGTGGTGGAACAGGAGATTTGCATCATGGATGTACAGCCGACAAATCTGCAGCAACTGCGTGATGCTATCATGTCAATAATATGGCCCAAAATCTCAGAAGAATGTTTCCAATACTTGTTGAATAAGGGGCAAATTAAGGTGCAACTACACAAGCCACAGCACATTGGTGTGCAAGATTTGCATCTCTTGTCCGGGTATAAATAACGGAAGCGGATGCATCGCACATTCAGCTTTTCGCTGCGGAGATAAGCGGTTAGTTTGTTTGAGTAAAGATTATGAGTGTCTGCCGTGCTCTTCGGGAAGAGGTCTTTGCTTCCGGTGTTGGTGTGACAGCGCGGCAGCGGTGGTTGCGACAGTTCTTCCACCACCCTCGGCAGTCAGACGTGGCGGAGACATATGACGCCAGGCCTAACTCTCGTAAGTCTGCTCAGTGGTCGACCCCTGTGCTAGCAAGGTACCCATTTGTTGTGATCCCTATGGCGCTTTTCCGCTTTGAAAAGGTACGCTTTCCCAGTGTTATCCAAATAGTCTAACTGTATGGGTCCAGTGGAACAGCAATAATTATAACTGCTTACCTTTAACTAGTAAAGCATGTCTTTGTGAAGCACTTCTGTTTGTGACACTATTCCAGGCAGTGCATTCGTAATCTCCACTGTGTGTGAAGTCAGTCTCATCTCTGGTGAAAGTGTCTGAGGTCACATTGGTGTCTGTTCCATTAAACCTCCAGCTGAAGGAGGCAGAAGGTACAGAATTTGCAGAGCAAGACAGAGACACACTGACCCCTAAATCCACCACATCCAGACCCTTAATAGAAACATCATCTGGTCCATCTAGAACAAACACAAGAGACTCACTGTCAGAGGGACAAACTGAGCACTGAAGTATGTCTATATTTCATCAGGTTTGAGCTCAAATCATCTTGATGTTTAAATGTTTAACACTCACAGTTGATGATCAGGGGGAGTTTTGCCGTCACAGAGCTGTCAGGGTTTCTATAAGTACACTGATATTCCCCACTGTCTGATCTCTGCACTGGACTGATGGACACTGATCTGTTATCAGGTGAGAAGATGATGCGGTTGCTAGGAGACAGAGGACTGTTATCTTTCATCCACTGCACAGAGGTGATGATGCCAGTTCCCTCAGAGGTGATGTTAGCAGATGAGTTTCCCTCTATTAATAATTCTTCTGGACCAACAAGACTGACATTATATATTTTTGCTGTGTGAGAGAGAAAGAACAAAGACACTGGATCTAAAATGAGTCTTTCACATTTAGCAAGCACTTACTGTTAACTAAAATCTAAAACTAAGAACAAAATTTGTATTACTTGAATTAAACATTAACTGAAATACAAATTTTTTAAATTGTTGCTAAGGCAATATTTCTCATTTTCATTTAGTTTAAATTCAAGTACTAAAATAATTAACACTAAATAAACTAAAACTTAATCAAAACTATAAAGACATAAAAAATACAATCTATAATAATAGATAACAAATAAATAATAAAATCGAATTCCAAATATAAACAAAAACTATAATAGTATACCACAAAAATAACACTTACTACAAATACCCTAAACGTGATTTTTACGTGTTAAAGGAACTGTAAAAAAAAAACAAAACAAAAAAAAAACATCCTAAATCAAATCAAAATTCACATTAGGGTTTTTCTATGTGCATGGATAACTATGTGTCAGGGATGTATTTGACCAGGGGCCCTTGACCAGGGGCCAGGGAGGCTGTATGTTTCAAGACATCGTGGTCCAGAGCATTAGTGACTATTAGACTTTGAACACCCGTTTATTTGGATTAAAACTTTTGAAATGAAAATTATGCCACAACTGAGGGAAAGTAGTCATTTTTGTAAAATATATAATATGTATAAATATATTTTTTTAAAGTTTACTGTTTAGGTCTTTATAGGTTTATAGATAATTTGTATGTTTTTTTTAAAATGTTCATAGTAGATATGTTTAAAGTTTAGGTCTGTTGTTTTAATAATTAAAATAATAATAATAATAATAATAATAAAAATCCGTGGGACACGAGAGTGCCCAAAGTAACACATATCTGTTCATGTCTAGATTGCTAGAAAAATCTAAATGTTAATTTACTAAAATTGTTCTAACAAATGTTAATAACTGCTTTAAAATATTTAATTAATCTGAATGAATTATTTTAAAAAACTGTTTGAATGAATGATTCAATGACTAATTCATTAAGACTTTGCCTGGATGAAGCAGTGTTTTTGAACAAATCTCTTGAATGAATGATTCAATGACAAATACAGTTGTTAAAGGGGTCATATAATGCCATTTTTGTACAAGCTAATATGATTCTTTAGGGTCTAAATTAAAAGTTTGTAATATACTTTAATTAAAAATTCTCATTAGTATTGTAAGAAAACACTTATTTTACCTGGTCAAAAACAGCTCTGTTTTCAGCACGCCGTTTCAGTGCATATGACTTTAAATGATCATGAGCTTTGCTGACTCCGCCCCTCTGTTCTGTGTACACCGTTTGTAACTCAATAACTATAACGCGTTGTTCAGTATAAACGTGGGATTATAAATTATATTGAGAACATCATACATAGAAAACATGCCGTAATGTACCCTGAGTGTAAACATAGACGCATTCATTGTGAAGCGTGCAGCTAGCGATTTGCAAAGATTAATATATTAATATAAAGTTTAATAAGACGTTACACTCACTTCCGTTCTTCTGGAGGTTCAGCAGGAACACGAATATCTGGTACCGATGCTTTTTCATGAGCAGCTTCTTAGCAAATCCAGCTTTATACTGATCCTCGTTTATAAAGCAGTCTGGTGTGTGAAATGATTCGCGCAAACATGAAAGCATTGACGTTGCTCGTGGGGAATATTCCCTTCGAAAACAACATCCCTTCAGCGGTTCGGATTTAGGAACATTAAAATGACTGCTGTGTTCGTTATTACACCCAAGAACAGAACACCACAATCGCTTAGACGCCGTTCTGCTCATAGACAGTGCTCCAGCATATCAACAACAATGACCGCGCCTGTCCACGCAGACTATGATTGACAGCTGGTTCACAAGCGAGGGCGGGTCTGTGTTGACTCGCTCCTGTCAATCAACAATCGTGGGAGGGGCTTCCGAGCGTGTGACGTCACACGGTCGAACGGCTCAATTTGAGGCAGGGGAAAACATATAAGGAGATTAAAACAAAAACACTGGATGGATTTTTATCATTATATGATGGTTGTGTACAGGCACTGCCAACACACATTTCAGTACAATCAACTTGTAAAAGTGCAGGTACCATTATATGACCCCTTTAACAGCCACTTATGTAATCGATCCAATCGTTATTTGAAGTGTCAAGTTACTTTCAAAAGTTGATTTGCTCTATTTTGATTGTTACGACAGTGTTTATATCCAAAACTTATATTCCTGTAGGCTACTAACGACACATTTTTTCTCGATAAAACGACATATTTTTTGTAGTGACTTTCGGTAACTTTTTTGCCCCTTGCACACAACAAGACATTTGCAACAGTTTATTTTTTTACACAAAGTTTGATTTTACGAAATTCATCTGTTTTGCAGTTCCTGCCTCTATTGTTTTTGCTTGCAAATTGCTGTTCATAGGCTTGCAATGCTTTTGGCCGCATTAGCTAAAACCGTGCCGCTGCAGCTTCAAAATACATGAATTGCACTTACGAATAACAGTTAATGCTGCAAATATTTTTTCTTACACTTGAAAGGCGATTTACACTTTTACAAATCTTCTCTTGCGCATGCAAATGTAATTTACGCTTGCAATCTTATAAGTAGGCTACAATTTCACAAATCTTACCCTGCACATGTGATTTTTTATGGCATCATATTACCTAGTTTTAGCAAACACACTCACCAAACACTTGTAGTGAAGTTTCTCCTATAAGTGTCTCTCCAGCACTAGTTGTTACTCTGAGTTCGTATATTCCAGAATCATTCCGTCTCAGATTCTGCAGCTCCAGAGCGAGAGTGTTGATGTCCACACTGACTCTGCCTTGATATGCGGGGTTTACTGTAGTTACACCAGATGCTACTGAAATAATAAAAGTTGAAGTAAAAGACCACTGAGCTATAAGAATGGATGTGGAGGGGGGTGGGTTATCAGGGGCGAGCTTCACGCTTTCTCCCACTGCTCTATTAGCCGGATCAGGAAACTGCAGATCTTGACCGAAATATTGTCCTGTGTTTTAAAAAGAAAGGAATGAAAATTACAATTGCACTAAATGCACACTACATTTTTTTTGTCCTGCAATTAACTACTAGAACTACTGTAATTTTTCTTTGTTTATAAGGCAGACATTTTTCTGCAATTACTAGGACTACATCATTAAAATAGGACTAACTAGTTATTTAATAGGCTACAGATATTCAAGACACGGTTTTAAGTTTTGAAAAGTTACCAAAACACGACAACATCCACAGCGTCCAGTATAAACGATAATAAACCATCATGATCGAGCTCTCATCTGTCAGAAGCTGCAGCTCAAATCATCTGAACTATTTACATGATATTTTCAGATTGATAAACGGCAGTTCTAGAATGCAGAGAACTCACTGCGCCACCTAGCGCTGGATATTAACAGGAGTCATATTTTTGATCATGGAAGAGCTATCAATTCCAGGGCCGTGCACAGACATTTTGAAGGGCAGTGGCTTAAACCAAAAAAGGGGGCACTATAAGGAGTTTGACTGACAACATACACGATGGTGACACCCCCCCCCCCCCCCCCCCCCCCCCCCATTTTGAGTTTGACCTATAAACTATCAACTTAGGGATTATTAAAAGTATATTAATTTAGCTAAAGTATTTGTATCAATACTATGTGTCTTTTGTGCTGGTTTTACCCCGTGTGTAGGCTATACCTCCTTGCCGCCTCATACATTAATACGATTTTTAAACTAACAAACCACCTTTATGATTTATTTTCACACAAAATCTGTTGCTCCATCAATTTTCAAACATATATTTTTCTCAATCATATGTGAAAAGCAAATGTTAGGGTGTGCCTTTAGCCCCATTGTAACCTAATATACTAAGGTACTATTCATTTAGATCAGTGTTAATTTTGACAGCAAATTTTGATTTAGTCTTAGTCTTTTGACTAAAATGCCATTTAGTTTTAGTCATATTTTAGTCATCTGAATTGTTTTAGTTTTAGTCGACGAAATACAATAAGGTTTTAGTCGACTAAATCTACAGTAGATTTAGTCGACTAAAATTTAATGGGTTTAGTGTTAAATTGTAATGCATTAATTTAGAATTTCTCTAAAATGTCCAAACCCATTATATATTCCCGTAGAAAACATCTATTAACCTGATAATATTAATAATTTTTAAAGTTTGAATATGCAATACAGACACATATTTAGCACTGTGACATCTTAAAATTAAAGTCTCACATACATCATTCTTTATTCTTTCAAGCAGACATATTTATTTGTATGAATTAAATATAATTAATCCTTATTAAAGCTATTAAAGAGCAGTGAATGCTTTTCTCTTTTTATTTTGTTGTTTGATTAATATTAAGTGCACAGACGGCATTAGGTTTATTACGCACTGTCACTTTAAGACCGAGTGTGCAGATCCAATTGCACTGATGCACATCCGATATTCTCACAACTGTACGTTCTGTAAAGACATAACTGACTGCGTTTAAGTGAATCCTCTCCAAAACGGACATTTAGACATAATGTTGTGTGTATTTGTCCATTCAGACGCGAAAGAGAGCTCAATTCAGTCCTTGCGCGCTGCTCTGTCTATGTGCAGGGCTGCATGCGTCGGGTTGTGTGTGTTTGTGTGTGTGCACGCACAGAAAAAAACACAGATTAAAGGCCATTGCATACTGCGTTTTTTCGTATTCGTGATTCGTTGGCTCTGAATTGTCAAAACACCATTCAAACTCCATTCAAACTGCTGGCTACTGCTAGGCTATTAGATTTTTACCCGATTAGATTTTTTTTATGACGGACGAAAGTTTCGGAGGCAGTGTGCAAGTGTGATTGACATAACGTGAGGTCGTTTTTATTTTTTAACGTGCGAAAATTCTGGAGCGATAACATAACGTTTTTATGGAAATCCTCTGGAGGGTTAGGGAGGGGGGCGAGAGGGGCACCTCAGCTGATGAGGGCAGAAGGGCACGGCCCTGATCAATTCAGTCATGTAACATCCAAATTAAATAGCTTTATTCAACTTAATGACGTAATTTTATATTTCTGATTCAGTTTTGCTATGGGGGGGGGGGTATAAATGTCTTACTAAATATAGCAAATGTTATATTTTTACTTGTTTTTTAAATACTTTTTACTGGCACAAACAAATCAACAATATTCAGACCTTCATAATTTTCAGAAGCTCAAAAACACTTAAAAAAACTAAAAATAGGGGAGACGGTACATTTTTAACATGGAATGAGCTGTGATACCACTTTTAATACCAATTGTAAAAACAATTTTGAGGTAGCAAATTTTTGATATTCTGTAAATAAAATAAACCCAGCACTGTCTGCCCACAGCGTCAGTCCAACATGAGGACGGTAATAATGTATTTACAAATTTACACTTACATATAATTAAATAAAGTAAAGGTTATGTGTATTTGGCTCGAAACCAGAGAACTCCCCCAAAAATCAAATGAGTCTGTTCATCTTCTCAGTTCTTGCGCATGCGTCGTGGCGCTCTCATGAACTCATGTCAGAGGCCCACACCGAAGAAAAAGTAATTATTATTATTTATTTATTTTTGCGCACAGAAAGTATTCTAGTCGCTTGATAAACTTAAGGTTGAGCCACCGTAGTCACTTGGACTATTTTAACGATGTTTTTACTTTTCTGGGCTGGCAGATGAAATTACCTTGCAGCCTTAAGGAGTCAGACAGCTCTCAGATTCCATCAAAAATATCTTAATTTGTGTTCCGAAGATGAATGGAAGTCTTACGGGGTTGGAACAACAAGGGGGTGAGTAATTACTGACAGAATTTTTAGGTGAACTAACCCTTTAAGGTAGCCAATGATGTGCTGTTTTTAAGTCAAATGACATTTGAATGTCCCTCCAAAACTCTCTTTCCCACTGTCACCCTCACCTGTGCTGGAACATCTGCTCTTACTTAGCTTTTATTCACGTGCACTTTGTACTTTTTGCACCAAGCAGGTTATAAAATAAAATAAAAATTGCTAGACTTTTTAAGTCTGGACTGAATTCAGAGTGCGGTTAGCAATTTTCTTGCTTGTTAGTCAACACATCAAAATAATGCACTGCTTTAAAGCATGACAAAATATTATTACAACACAAGCCGCATTTACACTGCAGGTATTGATGCTCAATTTCAATTTGTTGACTATATCTAATTTTATTTTATCTTTTTACGACCAGCTTACATCTTTTAAAAGTGACTCATATCCGACACACTTGGTGAAACAACAGTATAGCTCAAAAAAGGACTCTTTGAATTGGTTTTGTATATGGATGCAGTACAACACGGTGCAGAGGGGGGAAAATGAAAATGTTGGACCAAAGGCCATGTATGCTGGATTTTTTGTTGATCACTGACAGCAATTTCATGTTGCTAATAAAGGTTTTACCAACTAAAAATGTAGAATGGTTTTACAGTAAAGGGAAACAGAATTACAAAAAAACAATAGATTTCATATTGTCTATTATATGCAGGTAGAACTGAAACATGACAATTAATGCAGTTTTTGTAATACCATCAACTTTAAGTATTTTGACAGTCATTGCGCTATGATTGACTATGTTCATGTTGGATTGAAAACTTTTTTGACAGAATTTTTAGATATTGAGACGAGTTTGCCATGTTTTGATAAGAGTGTATTTTTTTGTGGCTTTTTTGCATTTTCAAATGTAGACCTAGGGCCCTATCTTGCACCCAGCGCAATTGACTTTGTACACCGACGCATGTATCATTCCTATTTTGCACCCGACGCACAGAGGACTTTTCCCTCTACAGGAGCACGTTGGTAAATTAGGGAATGAACTTGCACTCCCGGGGGTGGTTCAGCGAAAGGAGGAGGCTTGTTCCGGTGCAAACGTTCCCTGGGGCTCTTTTGGAGTTTCAGAAAACAATTCCGCCACAGACCAGGAAAAACCTAGTCTAAAGTCAGTGGCGCGTTATTCAGATGCTATTTTAAAGGGATACCCCACCAGTTTTTCTTATTAAACCATGTTATTCCCTTAACTAAGACGAGTTGATACATACCTCTCTCGTCTCAGTGCGTGCACTATATCGCTCTGTATTGCCCCAAAACTATGTTAGCACTTAGCTTAGCCCATGCATTAAATATGGGCCAAGCAGAGAAGCGACCAAACACTTCCACGTTTTCCCTATGTAAACACAGTTACTCGAGTAGTGTAACTTGACCTGGGCTGGTGACACAAAATAAACCGTTGCGCTTTTCTAAGCGTTTAAAATTGATGACTATATTGTATGGCGGAATACCATAACAAGTGCTTTTGAGCACTTCGACTTGGCGCAATAATATCTTCACTCGTGAAAAGTCCCGGCTCCCGCTTCCTCTCCCCCTCCCTCTGACATTTCCGTCAATACAACCAACGTGACTTTTACTACCTGTGCTATTAGCAAACTGCAGATCATTTGCAATGGCGGACTTTGTAGATGATTATGACTTCTTTGTAGAAGACCCAGAGCCATATCTGTTTGAACCCGAGTACACGGAGGAGGAATTAGCTCTTATGGACCGTGAGAGGCAAGAAAGATATGATCCAGAACAGACCGGAGCTGGCGAAAGACCACGGGCAAACAGCAATTGGTGGTGCAAGTGTGACTGTTGCGAACAGATGCCGACCGAAATTGAGAGCCTGTGCTGTTTAGAATGCTAACTAAGCTAACTAGCTTCCAACAACCTGTTACTTCGTCAACTCCGCTCGAACTACTACTACCGGCGCATGTCACGTTGGTTGTATTGACGGAAATGTCAGAGGGAGGGGGAGAGGAAGCGGGAGCCGGGACTTTTCACGAGTGAAGATATTATTGCGCCAAGTCGAACTGCTCAAAAGCACTTGTTATGGTATTCCGCCATACAATATAGTCATCAATTTTAAACGCTTAGAAAAGCGCAACGGTTTATTTTGTGTCACCAGCCCAGGTCAAGTTACACTACTCGAGTAACTGTGTTTACATAGGGAAAACGTGGAAGTGTTTGGTCGCTTCTCTGCTTGGCCCATATTTAATGCATGGGCTAAGCTAAGTGCTAACATAGTTTTGCGGCAATACAGAGCGATATAGTGCACGCACTGAGACGAGAGAGGTATGTATCAACTCGTCTTAGTTAATGGAATAACATAGTTTAATAAGAAAAACTGGTGGAGTATCCCTTTAAGGGCGCATGCTTGGCCATAATGTAGCGTTCAACGCGTATACACTTTGCTTCTCTCATCTACACAGACGCAGCAGTTCCCATTTTTGCAAACCAT